ACCTCATATGGTAAGATTCTGTTAATGGCGATATCAACGCGCTCTCTGAAGCATTATTTTATCATTCTAACAACTACCTAGCTTGAGTTTGTATTTTGCAAGTATAAATATGGTATAAATATMAGTAATTTTTTGACCTCTAACTACAAAACTCAATTCATTGAGATGTTTGGTCTGACCGATAGMTACAATTATTTTATTTAAAATTAAAGAAGGGTTTCTCATTTATAGATCGTTAATCATTAATAATATGTAAGTAATATTTATTATATTTATTAATCAACTATACTCATCATTGTATAATGTCTGCTTATTAAATACAAGTTGAAATAAGCAATTAGGTATTATTCKAGGTATTATTATACAACACTATAATATACCATACTTAAGGATGGTGTTGTGGAAAATTGTATAGGAATGCGGCAAAAAAAATTCCATACTACCCATACATTTAATATATCAGTGAGACATAAAATATATATGTTTTTAAATGTATTATCAAAATATACACAAATGAATTCATTTATATTTAAACGTGTCTAAAATTTTATTAATTCAACAAATCCATATAGGTAGTTAACATATTGTATTATGTTATTGATCTTAAATTAACATGCTATTCACCATATTTTTTAATTTAAGTTATATAAATAGATCTTCTTTCGTGATACATAATATCTTATGGTCTCCTTAAGAAATGTTTTYATATCATAAAATACTTAAAGRAGTATACGATTGTATAATAATATATTGGTCAAATACAAATAAAGTTTTACAATGTGTGGATTGTAATATTATTGACCAAAATATATGTGCCAACACTATTAAGTTGAGATATTATCACACAAGTAAGCTTTTGTGAAAGTAACAATGATTAACATTCAAACATAAATTTTATGAAGGCATTTTTGAGTTATTCGAGCAAAATTAATTATATGCATAACCTTGAAAACAAATTTGAAATAAAAAATTGAATATACTGTTAAAGTATTTCATTTAAATGTTTTTAATTTAAGTAAAGCCAGTTGATATTTTGGAAATTAATAATATTCATTATATATTGTGTTAAATATAGTACCTAATCAGAAGAATACAAATAAACACATTATATATCTTTGTGCTTAATGGTATCTGGTCAGTATCAAATTAATTCATTAAAAAACATTTAATCAATTTGTGTTGAGTATATTTAAAACAGTTTGGAACAATTTCAATAAAGTAATATTAAGAGTCTATAATATTACCTAATTGTCCTAATTAGTRATTTATTTGTAATTAAAAATGTATGCAATGTTAATTCTGTGTTAATATATTAAATATAAAATTAAATAATTATTTATTCACTTTTATGTTTAGTTTATTAGTAGTTAGGATAGTTATATAATTTATAAAATGATGTAACTATCACAATTTCAACAAAGTTACAAATATTTGTATAAGTTATAGACTTAAAATGCCTTCACAAGAGTATAAAAATATTATGATAACAATTTATTTAAGTTTGTTTAGTAACAATTTAAGTTTGTTCGAAGAAAGTAAAAATTCATAAACTTTTTAATAATAAAAAAAGGTGTGTTTACATTTTAATTTGCCTTAGATACATGGATTGATTTATTCTATGATCTTTTAAGACATACAATATATCCTTTACTGGCTAAGACTCCTCTGCATTTAACATGAGTCAGGTATCTTATCATCCATTCAAGTTTAGGTATTTTTTGTTTTAGTTCAGTTTGGTCTCCAAAAACTTCAGCTAAGCACGATTGGGGTAAAATTTCTAAAATAAAATAATATGTATATAA